TGGAAAACTGAAGGTGTCCTCAGGATCTGTAAGGAGTACCACCGTTGTCTCTTACACCCTGCGGCTCAACCCACTGCTGACTAGTGGGGTGTGAAAGGTGTTGCAGTGGCTTCACTTTAACTGGTGACTGCGATGGTGTCCCAAGGTGTCATCCATGCTCTAGCAGAGACCTCCCTTGGTCTGCGTGAGCACTGCTGCCATACCTCTGTGCACAGCAGCTTGTGCTGTTGTACCCAGGTCTGGGTGACCCCATGGCATGTGTTATCAGCTCTCTGGGAGGTCAGAGGAGCTGGAGGAAATGGCTGCATGTGAACAGCTTGGTGGTGGGCTGAAAGCAAGAGAGCCCAAGAGGTGTATTTGTCCAAAGACTACACGTGTGGTTGCTCCCCAGTAGTACTTGATCTGGTGGTGTGTTGTGTGCCGTGGCTCCTGCCCTGCTAGGGACAGCCCACTGCTGCCGCAGGTCTGGGGGGATGAGGCTGGTCTCCAAAGGGGACCACTGGTGCCTTCTGTTGTGCTTATCTGAGGAAACGATTTCTAAGAAGCATTTGATTGTGGACTGCTTTTTGAACTTTCTATAGAGACCCCAGCAACAGTTTGGTGAGGATGGGAGCAGTCACCCTGTGGCCATCCTCCTTTTTTCCTCAGCCTGGTGTGTTACTTTGCAGTCTGCTCAGTTGACCTGGTTTCTTCGTGCTTGCTCAGTCAATAGTCCTGTTATGCAGCATGGTTTTTATTCTATTCAGGCTGGGGCTCCTGCCTTGGGCAGGTGTCTCTGCTTAATGTGCCTTTCTTGCAGGCTTCTGGTTTGCCCTTGGAGCTACTCTGGAGACATACAGAGCAATGTCTCAGCCTGCTCCTGAGGACGCGCATCCAGGGCAACATCTCAGGCCTGAACGTGGACAGAACATCTCTGCTCAACCCTAGTGCTGTTCACTGCTGGAAAAGCGTGTCCCAAACCATGAGTGAAAAGCCAGGGCTAATATGGATCCAAGGAGCATTGCTGCCACAGCCAGTTGCTTGGCCTGGCTGCCATCTCTGGTGCTTGGGCTGCTGCCCTGAGGGCATGCTGGAGGGTGGCATCAGGACTGTGAGGGGCTAAGACTGGCTCTACATGACTGCTGCAGCCTGACGGAGGCTCATTTGCCTTCCAGAGGTTAGAGGGACTGACTCCTTACATTATTAAGCTGGGGTTCAAGCCCATGTCTTTAGGCAAGGCTGTCAGACAGGTTTTGTTGGTGCGAACCATAGTGTGCTTTCTTCTGCCTCACTGGAGGAAAAAACTAATGACCTCTTCTACTCTTGTGTCTTCACATCATTGTACCAGATGATTTTCTAGGTGAGAAGATGACAAATGTAGATCAGGGGACAGCTCAGGGAGACTAGGGCAGGGAGGCAGCTGTTGGCAGAGCCTCTGAGAGGTGGAGGACACAGGGACACCCTGGCAGAGCCATTGGTGTTTCCCAAGCTGTCCGACTCCTGCAAGACTCGTGGAAGATGGGCAGAACCCAACCGTGCCTATGTGATCAGACTTACGGACTAAACTGTCCTACACTATCCCAAACTGTGTTGGTGGGAGCAGGGCAAGAGCTGCTGTGGGCTTGCTGGCCTGAGCATGTGTTTAAGAGCAGACTTTAATGTGGG